TTTCCGCTTCGTAATGTTCCTCTTTAGAAGCGTTGTTATCCACAACCCTCTTAACCACATACTGACTGACAGGTCTCGATACTCCAAACATTTCAGTACGCTTAAAATCAGTACTTGGTTTGCGTATAAATGCATAGCAAAAATTCTTCATAAGTGTCTGACTGAGTTTAGCCAATCTACCATCGAGAGTTTGAATCACATTCATAGCCTCAAAATGCTGAAAAACACTGTGATAATATAGATCAACAAAGTACCAATCTAGAACTCTATCGATAGAACTTCAAAAGTTCTCAAAAAAATTTCTTTTTAAAGAATGTGTAGAAAGAAAGAAAAGAAAAATGTGTAGAAAGAAAGAACCTCTTCCAGCTGGAAAAAAAGGAAAATGTGTACAAAGAAAGAACCTCTTCCAGCTGCGGCTTGGACTCCAGTGATATTTTCATAATAAATTCTTCTGAACGTGTAGTGAAAACAAATAACTTGTCCCAGTACTGATTAAGTTGGTAACAAATACCTCCTCGGAGGGTCGCAAACTCTTCCCTTAGTAACGGAGCAATCTTCTCTGCGAAAGTCTCATCAATATCGCTCTTGCTCTGAATATGCAAAGAAAAGTTCGGTCTCAAACAATGGTTCACAAGTTCTCAAAATTAATTTAAAAAATTTAGTATAAACTGTACACCATAACAAAGTGTATGGATACCTCAGAGAGTGACCGTAAATTTTCCTGTACCCCAGCAATTAATCTGGCGTAGCGCAGAGGCATTTCCGTGCTTTCTGAACACCAAAGAGCGGAGAAATCCGTCTCAATTTTTTCAACAAGCGATAACTTTTCCAAGCACTGCTTTAACTCTTTAGCACGCGAAAATACTAGACGATCCTGCAGTTATTAAACGATCAAATAAGCCCTAAACGCTGCCGTTATAAACACGTATTCTTAAAAAAATCAAAGAATCAGGAGAGCATAAATTTAAATATCAGAATGCGGTTGCTGAAGATCAGTTAAATTTAACTTTGACTGACAGTCTAAAAAACGGTCCTCATCAAACACGATCAAAAGCAACAACAAAAAGAAAACTCACTTCGTCACTAATGCCTTCTTCTATGCTTGAAATAACTTTGGACAACGATTCTTCAACTTTCTTCAAATTTTCATTGGCCTGGTGTACTTTTTCCAACAGTGTATTGGTAGCACAAATTGAAGGAATACATTCTTTGTATTTCATTTTGACTAGCTGCGATATTTCAACAAGGGCTGGAAGTAGAATGAACAATAATTACTATCTCATACTACAACATTTACAATTGGTCAGCAGCGTCTATTTTTACCGTCATTTATGTCATCTTTTAGCAGAAGAACAGTACGATCGATATTTTTTAAAGAGGCATCAACATCTCTACTTTGCATAAGTTCCATTATTGTTAAAGTCTGCCTTCTTGGCTTATAGTCAGCTGCTGCAGATATGACATCGGCTTCCATTTTTTCTTCTGCTTTTGATTATCAACCTAAAATGAATCTAGAGAAAGTTTTAGCTAACTATATAATGCAGTCTTATGTGAGACAACGAGAAAACTCGTCCAACCATTTACTGTCATCAAAGAACACTGTACTTTCTACAGAGGGAAACTGCCCATAATCATAGACTTGTCTTGAGGAAAATAGTAAAAAACATGACGAACGAAAGTTAAACAACAATCATTTACTATAGTAGCCAGCAATATGACATCGTAAAGAATGTTACGGTCGTTTTTCATTCAAAAATTACAGTTTCAGAAGTAGATGCTGAACTGCATTCACTCAAATTCTGCAAAAGCATTCTTATCGTAGAGCATTTCTCAACTCTTCGATGACTGCCATACAGCGGAAAATGTTTCTTAAAAAGAAAAACACCAAATAATAATTAAAAAGTCCAGAACTGCAGCACATGGTTAATCTACGGTTAAAAAATTTTTAAACAATTTGATGTCATGGTAAATGGCCAGACATATCATAAAAGGTTTATTCCGTTTTGTCCAGAAAAAAAATACA